AATTTGTCCATAAATTTCTCTGACAGTGATTTGGTTCATATCTTTAAATGAACTACAAAAAAGGAAGGAAAATTAGCTATTTTTCCTTGGTCATCAGCTGCAAGATGTCGCAAGTGGTGTTGTCAACTCCCTTCTATTTCTATCCACAAGTGCTCTCTCTACGGCGAATGACCTTGCAGCGATCAGTGGAGGAAGCTAAGTAAATCGGAAATCGGAATGCAGTCAAATGAATGAATTTCAGATAATTTTATTGAGAATTCATAGGCAAAAAATATAAAAGATTTCAGAAAATTTATTGTTTGTGTTGAGGGAAGAGGCAAGAAATTATTGGTTTGTTAGAATAAAAAGGCGATCCCTGTAAGAAAATTTTCGAGAGCTTTTCGAGAGTAAATCAGTACGACAGGCTTCAGCAATTAGTTCGAACTACAGATGAGATGCCTTTAAATCAATACAACATTCCACTCACTCATTTACTTTTAATGCTCTCTGACATATTTAGTTTTCTTTGTCTAATCTCTTTTAACAAATGTTCAGCACACTTCCATGGATTCTCTGGATTCGTCTAACATATTCACTTCAAAGTATCCACACATTGTGCCTCATTTCTGTTTTTGCCAATATATATGAAGTTCGCTTAAATGACATCAAATGACATCACTTAATAAATGCAGCCAAGGACAATATACCCTTTGGTTCATTTATTAAATGACGGGGATCATTGAAGACCACAAAAAGTCAGGTCATAAACTAATGGAACTATTTATTTATTTGAATCGATTGGTAGCGAATTTCTGAATTAATGTCGAAAATACTTTTAGAAAAGAAAAAGCTCATCAGCTATGGGTAGAAACGGCCACTATTTCTAGTGCAGCTTCATTCGCTACTAGTAAGATGAGAAAATTGCCAGAGATTTGTGGGTAGAAATATGTGAACCTCACATCCACTCTGAACTTCCTTAACACTGAGACCAAGCCATGATACTCGCAGTGATGATTTAAGCAACAGCATTCAACCTACAAATCCTGTCCCTCATAATATTTTTCAAAATTTTCCGTCAAAATTTGCCTTATTATCAAATATAACAAAATTCATATGAAAAATATTAAAATGACGAAAAAAGTCAGATTTTAAAAAGCAAAATTAAATTAATTTTGTGATAATCAATAATATCTTCGTTGTTTCCATCATTGATGACCGTAATTTCTTTCCAGTAACTTCTTTTTTCACAGAAAATTATTTCCTTGGCATTTTGAAAAAAAGAATCAGTAATTCAAGAAAAATCTGACTAAAATAAAGCAATAAATTAAAGAAGATAAATTAAAATGGCTGAAAAAATTTATCGACATTCTCACTTTTGATTTAACTGACACTCGCTTGTAAGAAATAACAAATAGAAAAAGAATTGAAAAGCACAATTCTGCTAAACCAGTCGTAAAATCCGATCAAAATGAAAATGATCACATAATTTGATTTAATTATTCGTGAAGAATGAAGAAACAAAAACCTTGGTTGAAATTATTTTCAACGAAGACAACATGAGATGTGAAAATGTAAGCAAAAGAAATAATTACAAGCTTAATGGAAAATGTGATAATAGACTGATTTTGACCTCATTTAATGATATGATATAAATAAATATAAATATTCCGTAGTTCTAAAAGCACTCACTATGGTTGTCCCCACTGACTACTGCGATGAGACATGACATTTCCTCTTGGCGATAAACCGCTCGCTAATACCACTCGGTTTTCACCTTTAACATGTTTATTCTCGCCAAGGGATGGAAATCGAACCTACAGTGCTTGATTTTAATAGAAGCAACATATCGATGACACTTCGCTTCGCTTTTCGGAATTCACGATGAATGAACGAACCATGCTTGCCTTATCAACGCAAATTTCGAACTTCTTAAGAACTTCATGAATTACATTATAAACTGTTAAATAAATTAATTAAGAGCAATTAATAATTGCTGTATTGAGCAATCTGTTCATTGCTCAATAAAATAACGAAAATACTGCAGATCAAATTGTGATTTTTCTTTAAATTTTTCCGTATTTTTGCAATTCTTTTTATATATAATTTTACGAAAATTTGGAATATCAACAGTTAATAGTTATGAAAGAAGAAATCCTTTGTCCAAACAAATTTTTTTACAAATTATCTTCGCGAAAATTAAAGTAAATTTATTCCTTTCTCCGTGGATTTTCCATTTTTAAAATATAAAAATGAATTACCGAAAATAGAATGAAATTCCAAGCAAAATGACAACAATGCTTAACCGCTGCTTCTATTTTCGAGGGCTATAACGCATTATATTTAAATAATTTTTTATTCACAGTATTTAGAAAACAATACGGAACGAGTGATAAAGGTAAATAGATATAAATATTTAGAGGATCAGAAATTTAAAAAAACATGTAGGTCGCTTGCATCATATGGATTCCACTTTTAATGGCAGCTTATTGCTTTTTTCAAAGGACGTATATACTTATGTTGCTTGACCTTAGTAGAAATAGCACATCACTCCATTTGTTACGGCAGAAATTTGATAAATGATCGATTACCCAAATTCATCTTCTGATATTGCGCTTTGTTCCATAAATAATTATGCACATAACACATAACTGACCTAATGTACAACCGTTATAAATAATTATCTTCAACCGTTATAAATAATTATCTTGTTGCAAAGAAATGAAAAGGAATTATTGCTCTTCTCAAAATATTGTTCCTTCCGAGTTCAACAAGTTCCAAACACTAATCGTATAAAAACTCTTTTCAGATATCCAATTTCGTTTATTTTGTTTTCATATCTAAAAGTAATGTACTATATTATGTACTATATTTCGATATAAGTGAATGGAACTGACCCTTTACATTTCTTTTCTAAGCTCCAAATCTTTGCCTAAATATTTTAATTTTTATTCTTCATACGCTCATCATTTTTAACTTGGTTAATTAACTTGGTGAGACCACTGTGTCGGAGATTCATTTGGGCATAGAAATAAAAGAGATTATTTTCGGTGAACTGCGCCACGTGTGTATTATGCACAATAGACGATGAATTCGGCGGGATCCTAGCATCAGTGCATAAGCCAGTGATTTCACTTTTAAAGATCTATCCATGTCAAAGAATTTAATCTATGATGACATTTGGCCCATGCCGAATCAAACTATCATTCCATAATTCTATCTTTATTTTAATATCACGAATATATTATTCTTTATGAACTTAACGAAAAATCGAACTAATTTGCTGAATGAAAATAATATTTAGCACTTTCAATTTAAATTTAAACTTTTTCCAATTTCCGTCACTAATTTCCTAATTAATCAATTAAAATTAATTAAAATTATTAAAAATTGCTATGGCAGATTTGATTTTCACAATAATGGTAAATTTCTTCCACACTTCTTTACGATTTCATGCCATAATTTAGAAATTAACTAACAACGATACGCTTTGCCGGTACGAGAAAGTTGCCAGCACCATCTGGATTCAGCCATTCTTTACCTTATTCATTTACGAAAATATTATAAAAATTTCAAAAAAAGTTATTTCTCCGAATAACTTTTCAAATTCTCCAAATTTCACATAGGAAATGGTTTGTTTTTGGATTGAAAATAATTAATGCGTGAAATATATTTATTTACATAACAAACTTAAACGAGAGCATGAGGAGCATGTGCTGTTATTGTCAAATAACTGCAGTCAGAATTTTCCTAAGGACTGTTCGAATTCGTTCTTAAACACGTATTACTAAAGAAAATTATTTCGGCTTAATTCTTTGAAGATGTCACTGATGAGGACAAAATATCTGACTGGATCAGTTCGGCTCAGATCCGACTCCTAACTCCAATGTAAGCAAACCTATTATTGAAAAATCGCTTCTACTTTATTATCAATAAATAAGCGGTAAATGATTAGCATTTAGCAATTCTGGGCCTAGTTCACTATCGTTAGAACGAAACTTCTCTTCGCTAGAGAATCACTTAAAGGCGGAAGATCCAAGCTGGATTTTACAATCGTAGATGGCATAATGCTCGAAATGCAAAATGTAAAAATAATTCAAACAATACTTTAAACCATAACCTATTAATTAACTTATCAGCTTATTATTTTGATAAAATAATCAAAAATTTTCGGATTTATTCAACCTTCAAGCAAAATTCTTGAAAAAACAATTTATAACAAAAAAAGTAAAAATTTTTTGAAGATCTCTTTCCTTAAAAAATGGAAAAATGGAATTAAAAATTAACGAAGCGTATGACTAAAAGGTTTTTTGTAATTTCGTGGATAGAACAGGATAGAATATAAAAGTCACTTTATAATGGATGCAAACAAATAAGTTCTTTAAAGTGCAAGGTTTAAAGAATTCCAGAAATATTTGTAATATCAGAAATAGCAAATTCATCGTCTATAATGCATGATGCACAATTATGCGCAATTAACCAAACTTCAAATCCAAAGTTTTAAATATCATTCGATTTTCCAGATTATAGGAAGCAAGCCACAATATAACATGTAAAATTGATGCGAAAATCAAATAATGATACAGGTTTGCTATTTTAAAGATTCGATAAGAGTTATGCAACCGTAAATAATCATCAAATACAAGGCACTAATCTAACCAGGCGTTTTTATAAAATATATTAAATATACTAAAAAAATTTAAGTGAATGAACAGAAATAAAAAACTTGAGCAGAATTATATCATCTATGCGAAAATTAATTAAAATACTATCGTATCAAATTATCAAAACAGAATAAATTATTAACGGATTACAAATAAAAATATAAAAACTTAGAAATTTTTTCCCACATAAAATATTAGCATTTTATCCTAATATTTTTAAATTAAATTTTGATATCAACTATTGCTGGCCAATTTTAGAAAAAGCCTATTTTTCGAGGTTTTCAATATTATTATAATATTAAAAACCATCGTGATAAATGATTAATATTAGATGAAAATAATCAAAATAATTGAGAATAATCAAATGAGTCGTTCCTCTTTCACAACACTGGTCATAGGTATAGAATATCCTGAGGCGAAAGCATTTTCTTCTTTTGCCGGATTATATTTCCCATGCAATTTCCGACTTCTTTTTACGTATCGAACTCCAAAAATACTCGCTACAGCAACCACTACAATCAACACTGAAAAATTATTTCTGTAATGTCCCATAAACTTGTGCCTAAGGCACTATAATATAATCTTTAATCCATTAATTTATTTGCATCTAAATCTAAATATAATTGTTGTTCCTTGCATATCACAGCTTATTATTTTATATATTTTAATTCCAGAAAACAACTCGATGACCAAAAGTCAGGGAGGGAGACTGGATTCTGTGCGACCGCAATCCAGTTGTGCTATATCAGAGCAATATTGTATTATACTGCTACTATTATTACAATATTTTTATATTATATCATCATATTTACGAGTAAATTATTTTCAATGGAACAGTCTCTACTATGACCATTCGGCAACTCATAGATACAACAGATCCAAATCGAAGTTAAAAATCATGGAATCATGGAGCTTTTCATTTCCACATTACCAAAAAGGAAAAAAGGTACAAAACTTTGGAATTGGATACTAACATAAAACAACGGATGATGCGACAAGCCAATTAGAAGGGCTTTTTGACACATTAACAGTTCGGCCATTGAGCTTAGTACCCACAATGCTGAGGCTACGAGTCGTTTCATCTATATTGTGCAAAGGTAGTGTTGTGGACAATAAAATATGGTGTTTAGTTGTCTGAAATTTGACAATGGTTTCTTCGAGTGACTTATTTTCAATAGAAAATCCCTCCTCTGGCGTAAATTTCGGTGTTTCCTGCAATGATTTTAAAGTAATAAATGTAATGTAATTTTATGTTGAATTTGGGAAATTAAATTAAATATTCTAAGTATCAAAACCAGACGGTAAATATGAATAAAAGAATATCACTATGCCCAGGAATATCATATCAGTGCCAAAGTTACTTTTAAATAAGCAAGACAATAAACTACGGTAGTTGTAAGAAGTGATGTCCAGACTGTCCAGCTAGATTGCTCTGTTGATGGATATAGCATTTTTGAAAAAACAGTTGAAAGCGCTTTCTCGCTTACAGTTGTAGTTTTATGGCCTTTCGGGGCTGTAGTTATAATTGGAAAAATTGAGGAATAAATTAAAGAGATTGTTTCTTCATTCATATTTGTATCTGCGATATATTTTGAAATGCCAAGTATATTATTAGCTGCAGCTGTAGTTCTCAAGATTTCCGATGCATTATTTCCACTTATTGATAGGTCTGTGCCAAATGGATAAAATGTCGGATCAGCTATAATCGATTTGTTTTCTATAGTAGGGATAAGGAATTCTGATGTTGTGAACGGAGGCATAAGTGTTGCACCATTTTGAAGCGAATCCGCAGTTGCAAACTCAACTATTCTAAAATTTCGAATAACAATAAGACAAAAAAATATCTGGAGAACCCCATAATTCCATAAGAAGAATTAGTGAGTGTAGAGGAAAAATGAAATTACTTTGTTGATGTTGAGCTAAATGAATTAAAACTATCATTTCCAGGTGCAGCTGATATATTTCCAATAAAAGAGAATTCAGGCTGCTTAACGGTAGTGGATAATTGAATGATGTGGTTAGAACTTATTTGTAATGTTGCCGTAGTCAGTGTCGTAAATAGTGAACATTCCAGCAATTCTAAAAATACACTAATTAATCCAAAACTTTGTTTATAAATGATTTGTCCATTACGCGAAACTAACAAAAAAGTACCATTGTTTTCATTGGGGCAAAAACACTTGTAAGAAGCATTGTTTATTATTTCTGGTGACAGAAAGTAATTTTCTTCGTCAACGATACATAATGCATTTGGACCGTAATCATCACAAACGCTACCACTGCAATATAAAATAGAAAATGAAAGTCTACAAAGTCTTATCGATAGGTCTGTGCCAAATGAATAAAATGTCGGATCAGTTATAGCTAATTGGCAAATTTAGAAGAAAACAAACAGCTGAAATTGTTTCAGTTGTTACTGAAGGATTAGGGATAGGAATAGGGATGGCAGTAAATCTGCGTTATGTTACTTGCTCATCTGTTTATCCCCATATCTTCTCGTATATCTGTTTATCGCCTCGAATGACTTTGTGGGAAACGGATCTCATGCTTACAACCGGCAAAGCCAGCTAAAGCAGAAATGATAAGTGGTATTAAAAAATAAAAACATCGAAAAGTAGTAACTGAATTTACGACTCAACTTTCTCAAGAAAAAATAAAATTGGTTCAAAGTTCAAAATAAAAAACTGCTACAAACTGCTACAATTTGGGCAATCAAATAGGAAACATACATTGTACAGATGTCCAAAATGTTGCAATTAATTCCAATATTGCCAGCTAAACACTGGCATTTTGATGTATTATTGTCGCTTTGTTTACATACACCGCCATTTAAACATGGAATATCACAAGTAGACTGTAAAAATTCAATAATAATAATTATTACTATTTTAAAGCAGTATAAGAAGGATAGCTAAGTAGATAATGATTCACATTACTGCATATTGAGAGGTGAAAAATCGTCTCCCCGATAGCCTGCCACTAAAAGTTCGGGTGATACTGGGTGATTCTTTGTAAAAAATTTCTAGTAGCCAGTGGAGGTAGCCTAACCAGAAATACTGAACCCTAACAACTCATTTTTTTATATTATGCGCAAATTACCGCTTAATACATACCACGAAATCATTGAATTCGCAATTCTTCCCGCGAAATCCATGCAAACATAAACAGCTTGCCTGCAAAATGGAATTCTAAAGACTATGGAAGAATGAAAATCCGTTTCTATGCATCAAAAAGGTCAGTTTCGTAAATTCATAAATATGTCTAGCAAATAAAATAATTTCAAATATTAAATTTTAAATTTTTTAATTTGTAAACGGTCAAGATAATAACTTCGCATAAAATAAATTAGACAACAAAAATCAGGTTTTTCACAAATTGCATAAAAAATCAAAATGGGATAATGATAATGATAATGATAATGCATTAAATGATACTCATCAAAGTAGTCAAGTTTCTGAGTCAAATACACAAAATGAGAACGGCAGTCATGGTCTTGTCATTTGCAATTTTACATAATTTATAGCAATCAAAAGCATCAAGAATAGCTATCAAAAATATAATAGTGCAATTAGCTCGAATTTCAACAATATTTGTATTATAAAGTTACTAAAAATTATTAAACCATCTGAATTTTGTGCATACCTTATTGTTTTCATCAATTACACAAGTACCATTATTATGACATTCATGTAAAACGCAAGCATAAATATTTGGATCCTCATGAATTGATGATGTTGAAGAATGGAAAGAAGTAAGGTTAACTGATGGTTCGATAATTTCGGAAGATTCAATGACCAAGCTATGTGGTGTTCTTAGGATATCAAAAGATTCAGATGACAAGTTTGCTGGAAGAAATAGAGTTTTATTAGAGTGTGCAGTATTCGCTGTCTCTGGTAATTCTTTGCTTCTTATTTCAGATAGGACAAAAGTTGTTTCACGAGTTTGGGTTCCCAATTCCTCTGATGATTTCCTCAAAATAGGAGCTTCAGTTGTGGTGATATTAATAGGGTGAACATAAATTGGCAAGAGCCGATGATTAGCATCGGTGGTCGTATCTGATGAAAACTTTTTGAGTTCTGGTAATTCTTTAATTTTAACAGGCTTTGGAAGTACAATTTCTTGAGATACGTTTGGTCCATGTCGAAAAATATTATTAATATCCGGAATAACTGTACTATGGGAAAATATGAATTGAAAGTTATTGCTGCTTGTGGATTTTAATGGTTTAATTTCGATGGATTTTTGAAGTTTACTCTTAGATGGTAACGATTCAGTCCTTACTGAAAATTTCTGCGATTCGCTTGCTTCAATTAATTGTCCTAGAAACAAACAACATGATTCATTTGAACTAATGGAATCTTTTTTAACGAATCTTGTTTAAAATAGGAAAAACTGCTTGGATTTAATATATCTCTTCTTATGGAACCGCCTTAATTATTTCGAATTCTCATTAAAATTATAAAAGGTACCAACCACTGTCCAGCGAATTTCTATCCATAATTCCAAGAACACTAGGACATTTGCAAACAAATGCCATTTGCTGGAATACATTTCTTCTTAAAGTAGGAGGACATCCATCAAGTCTCTCATTCTGTACAGCTAAATCGCGGAAACATCGCGGCCCACGATCTAAATTTTTATAAGCTTTTAAACATTTTAATACTGATTAAGGAAAGGAAATTCATAAGCTCAATCTTCTAAATTTTATTTAGAAAATTATTATACAGTTCTAATGGATTTACCTGCCAAAATTCGAACAGAAAACGTTCTTTCGTATCCGCTAGATGGGAATTGAACTTTTGATACGACTGAACCCGATACATTACAAATTAGTGATGAATCACTTAAAATCCAGGAAAATTTTTTCCATGTGCTTCCTGAAATCTCAATAATTTTTTAATTAATAAGCATTATTTTCACAATATCCATTTTTTGGTAAGAAGCAGACTATCCACAGAAATCTTTGAATGAATAGGAAATAAGAATATCGTAAAAAAAAGAGCACCACTGGAGGCAGAAGTACATTCGCCCAAGTGATTACCATTGGAACTATCTATAACGATTAAAAGTAGCGTATTTGGCACTGATGAAGACCTTAAAAAAACAATATTATTTCACAAAAATATTCTGATTTTAGTTAAGATATTTTATTACCCAAGAAATTTGTAAGAGCCAGTCCATGGTGTGTTAATTTGCTCAATGACCCATGAAACTCTCCCTCTTACTGTATCCGAGAAATGTGCATACTGAGTATCACAAATTGGCAGCAAAGCTGAAATAAAGTAAATAATTTTTAACAGAAAATTTACCGATAATTTTATTTTTAAGAGTAAGAAAAGAAGTTTATTTTAGTTTTAAAGAGTGTTCATTTTGGTTGTCAAATTTTATTGAAGGATCGAATCTTTCCCCAATAGAATTGAATTTATTGCAGAAGAAATGGACACAAAGGTGACAAAAAGTATAATCCAAATGATTAAGGTTAACGCCATTAGACGAAGTCATTAAAATAATTCAATTCACTCCATAGAGAAAATGAATTGCAAAAATTTAATAAAAATAAGTAGGCCATTTTTTATAAATTTTAATTTTTAGATATTAGATACTCGAGTTAAATTGGCTGGATGAATTGAATGTTTTATATTTAAGCTAAGTAATAAGTGATTACCGCCTATCATTTTTGTTGAAGTTCGTTCCAATAGTTGTTAGTACAAGAAGAGATTTTTTTATTCGCTGATAGAGGTATAAGTGAGTCTCCAGTTCCTTACCTGAGTTTTTAATGTGTTTATTCCTGATGAAGGAACCTTGGCGATAATCTGAACAACATCCATTATCCTATCTTAGAGCAATAACCACTCAGCAATCCTACATTAAATTTTATTTATAAATTTATAAATTCATAATGGGTATTCGTAAGGTAGGATAGTCGAATGAATAGATTTAGATTTAGAATAGTAGGGAGACAAATGTTGGGCTTCAGCTTCCAAGCGAGTAGACCTGTCATCCACGTGAACACTAGCACTTTTATCGCCTAATGATTGCCCTGGTAAAAATTTCTAACAGCACTAACAACCAGCGGAACGAGCCTACTTAAAAAATTAGGAGCGCTAACCACTTATCTTTTCAGTTAATGATGAACTAAGAAAGAAAAAAATTGAAAAACTGCCAACCAAATATTAAAAATAATAATAGAATATAGAAAAAAGAATTAATAAGCATTGCTGGGCGCATAATAATTCGTCGAAATTTCTTCCACTATCATTCAACTATTTCACATTTCTGCAACACTAAACAATTTGACTGATCACTCTAAAATGAAACAAGTTATTCATTCGATGAAAAAGATATGAAAAAGAGCCGACGAACTAGTCGATTTACTTACGTACGGTTTATTCCATTATTTATTGTCACATATCAATGAAGAACCTTTTATAATACCAATCACCATTGCTGAAAAGATTTATAATTCTTGAAACTAGCCGGATATTTAATTACTTGTGATCAATGAATAGTTATTAATCTTTAGAGAATTAAATCTTTTAGATTCTTTGCGATACTGATTCAAGGGCTCTGCAGATTTTGAATTGGGACTTATATATCTGGAGATGTATAACATCTGGAAACTGAACCTTTTATTATACCAATCACCACCGATGAAAAGACCTATGTCAACGATACTGTTTTGCGTAAGCTCCCATAGAACAAAATAAAAATAAATGTTTACTTGTTTAAAAATAAAAATAAATCGAAATCGAATAAATCGAAAAATAAAATAAAAGCGTCCAACTCTTCCTAAATTTATCAAATCAAACTCGAAAAATGATCAAACATTAAAAGGCTAAAAATTTTCAGAAACACATAGGAACTCCAAAAAGCGATTAATAACATCGTGCTGTAATAGGTTATTTTATCTAAGAAAGGGATGAATATCTTGGAAATTGGAGAAAAGAATGGTAGAAAAATTTGAATTAAAAAATGTTTCGTTCATCGATGTGACAGAAATAGCCATAAGGCCTTGACTGCCCTGGATCAAAATCTGGATTGATATGACCAGGAGAGGCTCCAAAATTGGCCCAACTATATATGGGCTTAGACGATATAAGAGGAAGTGGTTATTTTTTGGGCATTTTCAGATATATATATATATATATATATACTGAACTAAGAGGCCTAGAAATGCCTTAAGATTGCAGAAACTGGACCTCAACAATGGTGCAAGTTGTTAGGAGATGAACTGGGATAAGAAGATAAAAAAAAAAACTGAATTAAACACCAAATCATAATTCACAGAGTTTTATGTGTTGATGTACATATAACAAATGCCATAAATAATGAGTAAATAAGAGAAATACTTCGGTCAACTGATTCACTAACCTTACAAATCAATTAATAAAAATATTAAAAGGTCAAAGTTGCAAATGTCATAATCTGGAGGTCAAAGTGCTGTGCAAAAAAGTTTCGATTATATATAATTTTAAATTCTCCGCTACATTCAAAGTTTGTCGTTTGAAATCGGTTACAAAATATTGAAATAAATTTCTATCCCCAAGTGACTTTATGGCGAAAGGGTCAGGCTTCCTTGACGTGATGTCCCCCGACGCGCATATTTCTTCTGATCCGGTGGTACATGCGATAAATATACGTTCCGTGCGTAATAATAATAAAAGTCCAAACATAGAATTTGCTCGCGAACCGAAATAAGTACTCAAAATCTGTTAAGGGAGGAGGGGAACTAACCGCTAAAAGGTTGTAAGCGCAATGAGATGCTGGTTGCAACTGCTTGCAACGTCAGAACGCTTATGGATGTTGCAAGCCAAACAATCACTGTCAACACCCTCTCTAAATAACGCGTAGATATGACTCGTTTATCGGAGGACCGTCTTCCTCATGTCCGCTCTCGAATAATTATTAAACTTGGTTCCGAACAAAAATATTGCCTATAACACTGTGGTGTCTCGGATAACTCGGGGCGAAATAGCGTAGCGATGGTCATATCTGAAAGGGCTCGATACGCTCTGATTGAATGGAGACCAGTAAATGACATATACGCGTTTCAAGGGAAAGTTCTCCAATATTCATCACTATATATGCTCCAACTTTATGCGCAGATGACCGCGATTAGGATAAGTTGATAAGTCTATGCAGAACTTCAATTCTTAACAACATCTCTACCAAGAAGTGACATGGTTATAATCGGGGAAGACTGGAATGCGCGCATAGGTCATGATGTCGTTACGATAAATTCGATAATTGGCAAATACAGCATCGGGGTCCAATGCGCCAGTGGAGAACACCTTCTTTGCTGAACAGCATGATTTCTTTGTTACTTATATATGCTTTCGGCATCGGAGGAAGACATCTAATCATGTGAAACTCTCCGGATAACCCATAATAATGAAGTATTCTGTTCAGATTGACTATACCATTGCTCAGTCGCCGCTGGAAAAGTTCGGTATTTGATAGTTCTTATCGGGGCGCTAAAACTGGTAATCGCCATGGATAAGATCATATTATGGCTCGAGCCAAGATTAATATTATTATAAAACTGACAAGTCGTAAGAAACGATATATCTCGAGATCTTTCAACTACCTCAAATTAAAAGATCCGGTAAGATAAGCGCATTTCAAACCGCATTATTGAAATACCTCAGTGAAATGAATGTCAATAACATCTCTGGAACAGCGAATGAATATTGGTCCCAACTAAAAAGATGCCTACAAAAGTCAGCCACCACTTTCATATTGGTACATACTAGTAGGAAATGCACTAGTTAGGTGTCGGTGGAAGCAACTATCCAACTGTCTGAAAAAAGCTGCCAAAGGAGATCCTGATTACCGTATGTTTCGAAGAATTATAACGACAGTAGCACGGAGGGACAGAAATCGCTACTGGAGCGATATGGCCTTGAGAACGGCAATTGAGATAGGTGATAATAGGGAACTGTTTCGCCTTCTCCGCAAAGTAATTATAACTTAAGAAGGGCTTAGTGAAATGATACGGGATATTAATGGGAATATTACTGTCTATTAAAGCTGTTAAAGTTGTCTCAGACGATGGAATGAATTTTTTGAAGCCAAATTTAACCATGCCATCTGTTGTCCCGAATATAACTGATTTGCCCGTCGAACCTTACGTTTGCAATTGTGAGCCGCCAACTGAAAAAGAAATACTCTCTGTAATCCTTAAGCTTAAGGCTAATAAAACTTCCGGAGAAGATGGTCTTTGGTCCGAATTCTTCAAAAGTTATCCACCATCGTTCATAACTCACCTTCAATGTATTCTCTGGTATGGCAAAAAGAAATAATACCAGAAGACTGGAAGAAAGCAATTCTACTTCCCATTCCTAAGAAAGGGTAATTGGACGTATTGCGACAATTACCGAGGAATCAGCCTACTGGGGTAGAATTACTCAGTGGGTTGTTGCTCAGTTGGAAGTGCTGATGCTGATTGGATTCCTCGCAGGAGTAAACCTGTACAAAAATCCGGCCTACTGGACATCTCTAAAAAAATTTTCGCTTCTGCTAAATAGATCATGGCAACACGAGATAAAAGAATGCGTCTTAACCAAACTGAATTCATACCGGGATGCGGTTGTCCTGACCAGATACCAGATATCGGTGCTGGAACATCGATTCAAATACCAGCAACTCACTTGTTTTATCGATTTTGCTGCTTTCGATTGATAGAGCAACGCTCCGGAAAGTGATGGATTGTGAAAGTGCTCCAGAGAAAATCATTCGGGCAACGCACTCATAAAGGCATTTTATCAGTATACCCTGGCGCAAGTCTGTGTATATGGGGAAATTCCTTTGAAATAAATACTGGTGTCCTTTCCGCTATGTGATAGACTGGATAATGGGTATCGCTTGCCGGCATTCAAGAGGTGAATCAATCCTGGAACATAGCATCACAGATCTTGAATACACTGATGATGTAGTCCTTTTTGCTGACAGTATATATATATATATCTAAGATTTTACGGATCCATCGAGCGAACAAAACCACAATTGTATCCATCTTGGCTCAAATATCACCTATTAACAATGTTATCACAGAGCGTCAATTTTGCTGGTTAAGGCATTTTCTCGTCCACCACAAGACACATATTTCGCTACTTACCGAACCCTGTGGTGGTTAGCACCAAAAGCAAGGAGTGCCAATCAAGACCTGGACTGACACAGTCGGGAAAGATTTTGAACGTATAAGGAGACCAGCGATACATAGACTTAGACGACGGAAAGGGGAATGGTTTCTATTGCTACTAGTGATGTGTCGGACCAAACAGCTTGGAGACATCTTACCCTTGTAGCCAGCGGAGTCAGCCTAACCGGTAATGACGAGAACTGTTAGAAGAAGAAGAAAGAACAACACATTACTTGACAAACTCCGACGCTTGCAAAACATAAGGAAAATTAAAGCGACAATAATTATTGTCTCGCATGTGACACCATTTGTGGTCGCACATTTTGGAGCCAAAGACGAGGCCTCAGATAGCCTACGTGGCCATGTCGCATAGAGCTGTACAATACTCTATCCAGCAGGGCATATTTCTGACATTCTAAAATCCTTGATGAGGATTTATATTTTGCGAACTTTTGTGGATACAAGATGATAGCCAATACTAGAGTGCACATTCTTAACAGAAAGCACACATATACCTGAAACGTCAAAAAACAAATTTATCACAATTTCCGACTGATAGGAATTTTTAAATAGCGGCTGCACATGTCGGGTAGTTGCTTCAGTTTTTTTCTTTCGTTTAGTAATTAATGAATGGTGATGGCATCAAAAAATTTAATGCGGCATGTGCCACGGCAACGAATAATGGAAATGAGACCGAATATTTGGTTCGTTTTACCTTTTTTGTATATTTTTACAAATGAAAAGTAGGCTGTGTGACAATAATAATTCAAAAAACCTTAGAAAATTCTGCAATTTTAAGAAAAATGATTCGCATTTTCGAAATGGTTCCCGGGAAGATTCCCGTCCACGGAGTACTCCCGAAGAGATTCCCATCAACAGGGTTTTTCCCGGAAAAATTCCCAGCCTTACCCAGTGAACCTTCTACTCTCGGAGAGTGGTGCGTCTGCAGATCTGAACGCAAGCCTCGATTCTCGCTGGCAGTTATCTTTCCACCGACATAACTTGAAATTCGATATTTGCTTTTCAGTTTTGATTTTCCAAAAATAGGAGATAAGTGTCTATTTTCCGTATTACACAGGCTCCAGTTTAGTTATATATTTCTTTTTTATTTTATTTTTTCTCTCTTTTAAAGTTTTTTAATTTGTATGCATCACTTCCTATCATTCCTTCCATATAGTATCTGTTCGTTTCGCCCTTGAAAAAAAAAGAATTCAAGCATATTCTCCAAAATTCTGCAAATTTTATATAAATAAACTGCCCAGTTAAATATCGTCCTATAAATATCAGATATATCGTCAGTTAAATATCGTCTGAGTTAAATATCGTCCTATTATTCTTCTAAATCCGATTTACTTCCCTTAAAATTTCGAGGACGTCAAGTGCACTTCTATCCTAACTCTTTTGCAGTATAATATCTACATACTCTGTGTTTTCAGTAATTTTCAGTAATTTAGTTCGTTTAGAGCCACAACTGTTTCTTTATTCTTTACGAAGAAATGTGAGTTTTCGCGTAATAAAAAAGTACCATCGTGCTTTATATAATTATAATTTCAATATATTTTCAAAATAATATGTATTGTATAATATATAAATTTTAAAATATGTTAAAATAATATATTTTTGTTGTTATATTTTTTACTGTTTAATTAACTAAATGTATGATTGATGGAATTCTCACAAAATTTTTTTCGATTTTTAGATTAATTAAAATGAATCAAAAAAGAAGAAAATTTGGAATTTTAGGACAGAGTTCGTTACTTTAGCTGCTGAATGCAAAGCAGTTAATATCGGTCAAGTATGTCTGTTATTTTTTTCTCCAAATAATTTCTGAATATTTTTTTAGTAGTTGTTTCGAACTCTGATTAATGAATAAGAAAATTTTTTTATATCCCTTTAATGACCCAAGAATTAGGGAAGAAAAGAAAAAACTTTCTCGAATGAATATTTTTTGCTCAATATTTTCTCGATATATTTATTATTCACTGGAGATTTTTGAGTAATTTTTATACAAATTTGTTTTTTTTTCAAGAACCTTTGGTTTAATTTAAATTTTAAATTTATTTCAAATTTCAAATTTGTCCAGTTGTTCAGATTTATTGCTTAAATTTGTCGAATTCCAGGGTTTTCCGAATATTGCTGCTCCTGATTTTGTCACGAATTTGTTAAAAAATGTGTGCAATCACCCAGAAGAAGTCGATTATCACCAATACACTAGAGGATTTGGACATCCTAGATTGGTAAATCATTTTATTGCAAACTTGTGGTAGTTTTTTGCTTATTGCTCTTATTTTAGGTCAAAGCCATATCAAAGTTGTATACAAAAACATTGAAAGTTGATCTAAATCCCGATACGAATGTGTTAATCACTGTTGGCGGATATCTATCGCTCTATTACACTTTTATGGGTTGGTTGAATGATGGTGATGAAGTAATTGGTCAGTTTTTGTTCTTATTTTTCTTTAATGAGTTCTTTATCAAATTATATCAAAAATTCTCGAAAATTGAATAAAATATGATCATCAGTATTATTTGAACATAACCGAGAGTACAAAACTTGCCTTAAGATTATTTAAATTAGCAAATATTTTATTGATAAATCCATTCCATTTTGCAGTAATTGAGCCAGCGTTTGACTGCTACATACCTCAAATATTGATGGCAGATGGCGTCCCATTACCAGTGCCATTGGAGCTATCACCCAATCCGAAAAATAGTTCTGATTATCGCTTAAATTTGCAGTCTGTTGAAGAAAAAATTAGTTCTCGGACTAAAATGCTAGTACTAAACAATCCACATAATCCGACTGGAAAACTTTTCACCGAGTTCGTATTTCTTTATATGGGCCATTCAATTTTTTTAAATTTTATCCTTCCATTTTTTTTGGAAAATCAGTTATATAATATATGAGTAGTAAGAATATTAGTTCTTGGTGGTTTTGACAGAAATGAGTTAAATTATTTTTTATTGAAATTGAAAAATATTTTGAAATTCTTTTTTTCTGAAATTTTTTTGCAATGATTTTCAATAATTTATTGTTCTGGAAGAGATGAACTCAGTGGTTTGGCTGATATTGCGAAACGGCATGACTTGTTGGTCGTATCAGACGAAGTTTATGAGTGGCATATATATCCTGGTAAAAAAATGATTCGGTTTGGTATGTGGACTTTATGTTCTTCTAGCTTAGATAATACATAAATTTATAAAATATATGTTTTAATCATTTGATGTTTATAGCGAAATAATTGATCTTTATTTCATGCTATTATATATTAAAATATCATAATAGTAAAAATTATTGTTAAAAATTGATAAATGGTTGTTAAAGATGGCTAACTTATTGGTTGTAATAAATAGGATTAGAGTTAGATATAAAATAAACGTTAAATGATAAAAGATAAAAATTTTAGATAAAAGTTTTAAACGCTCAGCGCTCAATGTTTGTAGATGATATATTAAAAATTCAGTACAATCTCTTTAAAAAGTTTTGGTTTTAAAGATTTTATGTTGCATTTTAGTTTTGTATTTAGAAATGGTAGTACTTCATTAGATAAAACCAGGAAAGACAGTTTATATTTGTGTTAAAAATTCGTAAATGATTTTTTTTTCTATATGTTTTGCACGGAATTCTTTGAGTGAGAGTGAGTGAGATTGAGAGCGGATTTGATTATTGTTCCCTTGAACAAAGTAATCGGAATATTTGAAGTGGTGCTGCACTTTAAAAAAAGAATGTGCGAAAAGAATATGATCTATTTCAGCCAGTCTTCCCGGTATGTTTGAAAGAACGATTACAATTGGCAGCGCTGGAAAAACATTTAGTATAACAGGTTGGAAAACAGGTTGGTCAATTGGTCCAGCACATTTACTTGGACCTTTGAAGCTTCTACATCAGAACTGCGTTTTTACTTGTCCAACGCCTTTACAAGTCCGTTAAATTTTTTTTAGTAGATAGAATTTTTTTAAATTTAAATTTTTTGACAAATAGTTCAAAACTTAATGTTTCCTTTTTTATACTTAAATTTCTAGGAAGCTATTGCTCAAGCATTAGAACTCGAATTAGAACTGTTTTCATCGAATCCAGATAAAAGCTATTTATTAACAGTGATGACATCAAATTTGCGTGGCAAAAGAAATCGTATGGCTGAAATGTTGAGAAACGCGGGAATGAAGCCTATAATACCGGAATCTGGTTATTTTATGTTGGCTGATATTTCGGACTTAGGTAATGGGATTATAGTTTATAATTTTTCTTTTGAATATTTTTAAAATTTCATGTTTTTGAGCAATTCTGTCGAACCCTTCTCGCTTTCTTTTCATACTGTGGTAATGAATTGGCATTCTTTTCAACTATTCCTATTTTTTTCTTTGCCTTAATTCTATTATTCTTAATAATAATAGCAAGTTTACTCGATTTGATTATATTTTAGTGGTTTGATACTTATAATTCATAGTCACAAATTTGGAATTTGCGAAATTTGGGTTTGGGTGAGTGATAACCAGTACATTTTCCAATGATCCTCATGCAACATTTTCGCCAAATTAGCGGGAAAAAAGTTTGAGTTTTTCTAGCCTTTGTTCAAGATTCAACCTTTCGTCATTAATTTAAATGCAAATTTTTATCCTATTTTATTCGCCCTCTTCATTATCCTATTAAGAAAACTTAAAAAATACATTTTTAATTTTTTTTCAGCAAATAAAGTATATGTTGTGGATAAAAATAAGGAAGAAGCGCTCGATTTTCAGTTCGTTCGTTGGTTGTGTAAGGAACATGTATATTTTTCTTTTTCTTTCATTTTTACTTCTTTTATTATATTTTGGCGTGCCTGTTTCATAAATATTTATATGTATAATATAGCCCTAAATACGATCTTACGTTTTATCGTCATTTTCATTAACTCTGGAAACATTAAGCATTCTGATTAGATGAATTCTATTGACCATCAAAGTAATTAAAAGTAATCTGGGTGGACCCATAATTAACTGATTCTAATTCTCTCATATATAAGTCTCTCAGCGGAAGAATTATATCCATCCTTTAATATTCTGATTTCCAGAAATTGGCTACAATACCGTCGTCAGCTTTCTATTCAGACGAATACAAGGCTCAAAACGACCATTTTATCCGTGTTTGCTTTTTTAAGGTGAACTTTTGAAGTTTAATGTTATTATCGTTTTATTTTTAATAAACTAGTTGTTGTTTACTATTTTCGGATACTGTGCACAAAATAAATTAATTTTGAATAAATTATACCATCAAACACAATTTATAACTTTTAAAAATATTTGCAATTTTATAAAAAATTATTTTCAGTCAAACGAAACTCTAAATGAAGCGGATGCAATTTTGCAGAAGTTATCCAGTAAAAGTGGCGAAAGAACATTCAATAAATAATTATTTTTGAATTATTTACATTTCTTTTATTTTTGTTTTGAATTTTTGTATTTACTTCATTCTTCCTTATTCTCTTGGTATACTACCCGTTTTTTAATTAGCTGACGTTATTTTCTTGAAATGTTCTGCAAATAATTTTTATTTTCATTTGATTTTAATTTTTATTAATTCATGATTTTTCTTTAATTTCGTCTGAGCATTTTGGTTTCACTTTGTATTTTCTAATTGATTTCCATAGAGAAACTGCGATAAAGTTATGAAAAAATATTCAAATTGGTTTGTTTTGGTATTTTTAGTTGAATAATTTTATCTCTAATAAACGAATTTTATCTTTTGAATTTTATATTCTTTGCATTTTAAATCTGCAAGTATAAATTTTATTTTTATGTATTTTGAGAAGGACGATATATGTCACATTACGTTCCTTTTTGTTTTTTTTTTTTTAAGAAAAGTGTTTATTTATAGATTTGAATATTAAATTCCTTCTAATTATCAGCAGGTTTGGAATGCAGAACCAGACAAGTGCTCTTCATGGCTTGGAATCTGTTAAAGATATCGGTGTAACCAACGAAAATTATATGCGAATGATAAAAGATTTTATGGCCCAGTACAATCGTGTTTCAGAGTATTGTTTTAATAATTGTGTCAAGGATTTTACTTGCAGGTGGTCATCTTTTTGTCTGTTTTTTTGCTTATTCCATGTTTTTTTTTGTTTTCTTATTGGTTTTTTGGTTTCATCGATTTTACGGTTTAATTAGTTTTTTGTTTGCATTTTTTTAAAATCAAAGACATAAAATCAAATCTTTTTGAATAAATTTTTTGGAGAGATTTTTCATTTATTTGGCTATGCTGCGCTTCTGTCTTTTTTATTTTAACCATTACTGGTTAGGCTGGTTGCACTGGATAAAGTGGCAAAACGTTTCCATGCTGTTCATTCTGATGCCATCTTTGATAGCCATTTTTTTTCCTTCGTCTGAAGCCATACATTGCTGTCCTTCTATACATTCAAAATCTTTCCTGACTCATCATTCCTTCGCTTTTGGCACCATTCATCACAGGTTTTAACAAATAACGATATATGTTCATCTTTTGGTGGGCATCTTGCCCTACTAATGAAGACAATCATATGAGATTTTATCCGCTGAATGAATTCGTGATATATACCTTAGATATAAGTGATCAAAGGTAGATAACTTCTTAATATCCTCCACTCTCACTGGCCATATCTTTGCCATATAACAAGATTGAATGAACTATAGTTATACAAACGCAGACCTTCATTTTTATGGTGGCTTTCCATAGTTCCACAAAAGCTTCATCAACCGGAAAAACACATTTCTAGCCATCGTTATCGGGGTTGTGATTTCGTCTTTATCCTTTCCACTTGGGATTAGAATAGATCTAAGATTTAAAATCAGGCATTGTTGATACATTTATAGCATTTAGCATTGTCTGCATTTCATCATAAGCAAAAAGGATTATATCATCAATATATTCAAGGACTGTGATACTCTCGAGAAATTTGAACATCTTAAGTGTGGACGAGATTATCCAGCATTATCCATTATCCAGTCTATCACATAATTGAATATTGTTGGGAGCACAATCTTGACATACAACAGTTCTTATTTCGAAAGGATCTGTTAGTTCCACATAGATATAAGCTTGTGCCAATATATGCCGATGAAATATATTTTTGAGTCGAATGGTCTTCTCTGGAACACCGTTACCTTCCATCCTTCTAAAGAACCACTCAATTAAATTGAAAATAACTGTAAAATCGGTGATAAAGCATTGCATCCTTTGTATTCATCCTTTGTGAATAAATATTTAGCCGCATCTTGATTCAAATTCAGCCTCGTTGGAACGCATCTTGTTGTCTCGTGCTACCATAAGTGTATTTGATAAGAAAGAAGTGAAAATTTTCTTGGAGATTATGGTAGACTGTTTTCTGGATAATTATCACACTTTATCCTGTCATCTTTCTTAAGAATTGTAGGCAGAATTTGTCACAGTCATCTGTTATGAAGGGCAATGGACATCATTTAAAGATTTCGACCCGAAGGGTTTTGCCCTTCATAGTCTTCTTCTGGAGTTTTTTAAGCTTTTGAATGATAGAGATTTTCTGTTCTGATGGTAACTTGCACTTGCAAAAATATGGCTTACAAATGAGTCCCAGACAACAGATGGCGCATTTTGGTTATATTTTCCTCAAAGAATTCCTTCCACTTTACTAGAAATGCGTTTTCTTATTTTGTTTGTTTTGTTTCCATCTTTAGATGCAGTTATATGGGTTTTTTATTTTTATTTGTACGATATTAAATAAGAATGAGTTGATTTCTTTGTAATTTTGTATAAGATTTCAGTTCAAGAGCTATCAAAACGACATTTCAGGGTAATTGCTAACGTGTATATAGGTTTCCAACCTGATAGGTTTGTCTTATAGTGGGTTCGTCCTACTGTATAATTCAAAAACGACTAGTTATTGCCCAAGACATATGTTATGGCTCCACTGGTGCATATTTCTTTCCCTTTTATTTGCTTAAAATTCTAAAAATTTTAAATTTATCAGGTAGTGTTGTGTGTTATTTTATTTTATTTCATAATTTATCATAATTTAAATATGTCGAAGATAAGAAAAGTGGGCGCTGAATGTCATGAATTCAGTGAACAGTGATCAATAAATTATTTTTTTTGCGCAGAGGAATGATAAATGTATCTCATTTGTAAGGAATCGTGCTTGAAGTTATAATTTGAAACGGCAGTGTGTTGTGGAATACGACAAATTTCAAAGAAATTTACTAAAGAAAAAGAAGAGTTATAAATCAATAATCAATATCAAATGAAATTCTTTATACATCAAAGTTACGTTGCAGAAGAACTGAAGCAAATTTTCGAGCTTACCGAGTTATAACCGAATGACGAATGTTTTACCAATGATAAAGCCTCAACTGTGACGAGAGATTTGGGTTTCATGACAAAAGCAGACTCAGAAAAAAAGTTTGTGATATCGAACACTTTTCAGTTGTTGGCTTGAGTGGAGTTGCAAACCATTTATTTATATGTTTTGTAAATTTAATATTACTGATTTATAACTCTTCTTTTTCTTCAGTAAATTTCTTTAAATTTTTGAAGTAATTGAAGAATTAGTAACATTAAAAAGGTTAGTGACAGCTAAAATATAATCATAAATAATTAATGGCTTCTAACTAAATTGGAATTTGCTATCAGCGGTGACTGTAGATGGTCCAAAGTTTTCTAGTCTGCATACTCTATTTATTGGTTCATGAGGGCATCACTACCTATCGGGGAAGGATATTTATCATACACCAGCAATTTCTCGCGATAAGTTTTCGAGTGTCGATCCAGTCGTGTATATCAACAGTCAGTTGCTTTCGCATGATTTGAATTTTGAAAACCATCAATTCAGGGCTTTCCTTGAAGCATTCGAGGCGAATATGACGATTTATTGTATCACGCTGGAATGCAGTGGTTGAGCACGAAAATATCATAAATTTAATCTCAGATTCGAAATTGGCATGTAAACGAGAAATCACAATCTGCACTGGAACTATTCGGCTCTAAGTGGGTGTGACGTCTCGCGTTTCAGATATATACGAAAATTTGAATTTTTCAAACAATTAAATTTGCTGGGATAAATTTTTTAACGATTTGTCCTGTGATTAATTGTCCTCATTTGGAACAAAATTAGAATTATAAAAAAGTTTAAAACTATTTAAACTTTTAGATTCACACTTTCCCAGTTACAACAATTTGTCGAAAATTACGTTTAGTTGCAATTTCTCTAGCGAAGACCATTCAAAAAATTGTGTTATTGTAAGATGTCTTTGATCCGAAAATCTACTGAAAATTTATTTAAAAATTCATTCAAGCATAATTTTGAAGTGGATTTCCACTTAAAGCGCTGACTTTCGAGCTAATAATGAGTTGAAATCATCATTCAAAATGAAAATTTTATTCAGTTATAGGCCATGTTAACCGAATCTGATTGTTCAAGAACTGATCTGATTGTTTAAAAATTTTGCAATTTTGCAAGAGTGAAATCAAATTTTATCTCAAATTTTGAAAATTTTGATATTTGATGTTTTTCTGTGTTTTCAGAAATGAAGTTCGATTGAAAAAATTGGTAATGCATAACTGATCTGCGAAAAATTTTTTGGGACATCGCATTTAAAACCAAATATTAAAAAAATTCTTTTATTCCTCAAAAGAAGCCCAATTGTCGCCCAGTTGATTTAATTTTTCATTTTAATTCTCCTTTATTTTGTTATAGATTTTACTTTACACAAATTCATTTGACAACAAATGATTACTTTACACAAAATCATTCGACAACATTTACTAGACAAGTGTATGTGACCCTTTCACTATAGAGTTACTTGAGGATAAAGCTACAGGTGAGTCCCCAGCAACCACCCAGATTTTTGATATGGCAGGTTTATTCCTGTCAAAGACAAACATAATTATTTTATATTATTTTATAATTATTATAGATTTTATATGTACACATATACATATATTTATTTCAGTTCTTTGTTTTTTCTTATTTTTTTGTTTTTTATGTTAGGAAAAAGAAAGGAGGAAGAAAAAAAAGAAAAAAAAACTTAGCTCAAAGTTCGATGATTATAGAAAGTTCTAGAAAAATATTCCGAAAGAGACAATTGTAGCGGAATAATTGAATGGCTTCCATTACTGTCGACGATATCATCAGACCGCGCCACTTGGAAGCGTCTTACCCTTGTAGCCGTTGAAGCCAGTTAGGAGCCAGTTGGAGCCTAGCTAGTAATGGTGAGAGCTGTTAGAAGAAGAAAGTTTACATTAACTCAATTAAAACTTATATGACCATTAATTAAATTTAAAATTTAATTAGAATTTATATTTGAGTAAGGTTTCTAGTTAGAATTATTCTGCGTATTTCAAAATTCGGGCCTTCTTTTAAAAAAGTTTCGACTCCGTGGCGTAGTATCCTAACCGTTGTTCTGTGAATTTTCGACTCCGTGGTGTGGTATGCGAACCGTTGTTCTATGAATTTTCGACTCCGAGATGTGATATCCGAACCGTTGTTCTGTCTTGTTTAACTCGAAAAATGAGCAAATTCAAAAGTTTGCAACTAATAAAAATAAAGTTTCAGATCTTTAAACGATAAAGAAATGCAGTGTTCGTCTAATTGTTTCCAAAAGTTTGTAAAAGCAAGTCAAAGATTGGCTGTTCGTTTTCATGAAATTCAGAATATCGATCAGAATATTAGAAATGCTGGGTTGTGATTTTTTAGTGTTTTTTATAGATATCTTATTGTTAATGCTCGGAAAGTATCGTTTTTTTTCGATTTTACTCCTACCGAACTTCTCACATGGTTTAAAGTTTAAAAATCTGAATGGTTTTGGTAACTATATTTCTATCGACAAATGGTTCAGAAGTGAACGAATCTTACTAAAGAGATTACTAAAGAGAGTAAATGCTAACCATTATTATATAAAACATTTTTGCAAAACGCTAGGGAGTTATTTATAAAAGGTGGCATTTTATTTATTCATTGTATAAATTGGATTTATATCATAGAAGAAGTTACTGAGTTTGTCAACTGCTTCATTTAATTAAGGTTTCCAATTTAATTGCTACTTGATTTTGATTTATTTGTTGTTTTAGGAAGAGGATAGTGTTTCACCTTGATGATTTTTCAGTGATATTAGACTCTTTTAGATTCGTTCATTGGCGAGGATTCTTTAATGGCATTTCTTAGGTTTCCGGAATGTTCCAATATGGATAGATAAAGTAAACTTTTTTTTATATATTCTAATCTAAGAAAAATACTAAGAATTTTAATAATTTTAATCGATATGTAATTTAAAAACAAAAATATTTTTGCAACTGATTTATTATAAATAAATTAATAAAAATAAGTGCAAAAATTTTAAATCAACTTGGCCATTTGTTACTGTTGAAAATCTTTTTTTTCTAAGCTTTAGATTTAAATAATTTTAGGAAAGAATAAGCATAAGGAATAGGCAATGGGAATTGTGCCAAAAGATTTAGTTGAAATTAGATAAAACACCATTTACTTCGTACTATTTGATTTTTAAAATTTCAACTAGCAAGCGTATGAAAGCAGATTTTCCTCTTCCAAACTTCTTCAAATGAATAAGCTGTAGGGAGACATAGCGCTTTGACTGAAATCATCTTCCACCGACAGGTTCAGTCCTTGTTTCTTGCTAGGTGTGGAATTAGTCCAAGCTTGCTGGAGTATCATTTGTACCTTCATCTTTTAGTGATTCTTGCAAAATAATCTCATTCCAGTGGCCAGTAAGTACTTTAATATCTTTGAACATTGCTTTATGGAATAAATAAATCTCGTTAAAGCTCTGTGAGATTTAATTAATATAATCCGATTGAGCATCAGCTGGAAAAATTTATGGGTCCCATCCGTTTCTCTTCTCTATTCTATTCACATCTGTAGAATAAGTTGAAATAAATTCAATAGCTCATTGCAACGATCATCACAAAATGATCCAAGCGTTCCCTTATAATTTATAATTCATAATAAAGCATTTTTGATTGGTTCTTTTTCGTCGTTTACATCATAAAATTGAGTTCAAATTTTTTGGATTTTGGCATATTTGCGATAATTATTGAAAAATTTTATAAGGAATGGCGTTAACTATATTCATTAATCATTGGCGATAGTTGTATAGGCGAATATGAAAGATATAATCATCAGAAAAATAAAAAAGAAAGGCCAGGAATTCTTGTTAAGATATGTGATAGGTTGAACGGACTGATGTTTTTCGAAATGTTCAAAAATAATTGCTAAAATTACAGATGAATTTCCTATGGCCAACCTATTTCTTCGAAGCCTTTTAATTTCCAGTTCCACTGCTTGGAGGTTCTGTAGATTCCTACTAATTTTTCATTTTGAGCATTTTGGACATTTTGAAAGTTGTGGTTGTACTCAGATATGTTTACTTCTGTCAGTAGTATACAGGTCCAATAATTCCCAAGATCCAACGATTTCCAGATCTCTCAATTTGCATATATAACATAAAAATGTATAAAAAAAAGTAAACAGTTAAAATTAACAGTTAACGCTATCTTGGCTGGTTAATAATGCGATGAGAATTTACCAGGGAATCACGGCAGAAATACGAGTTTATTACTAGCATATTTTTTTTCAATGAGAGCTTCAGTTCTGATGGGAACGAGAGCCGAACCGATATACATAAGTATATAAAATTACATGTAAGGGAAACATGTAATAATAATGGTTTATTTGATTATACAGATCGTTATATTTTTTGATATGGGCACACTTTTCAGTTCAGTCGTTTTTATATCTGCATCGAAATCATATTACTAGCAAGCCGAGTTAGCCTAGCCAGAAACGATGTGAGCTAATCACCTCCTGTAATGCGATCTTTGTTTTCTTGCTATTGAATATTGCAATAAATAAATGAAAATTGGTTTAAAAGCCAAAATATTTTAATAAATAATAATAATTTTAATAGGTGATTATTATTGTTTTCATTTCAATTTCGAAAAATCACTGAACAATGGAAAAAGAAAATAATAATAATATCGAGGCATGCTAAGGATTTACCTATGTTCTCGACTAACCAACAAATTGTATATTTCTTTTTGATTGACTAGTTTGAAAAAGTTGTCAGGTTGGAGAGAATGCATATGTATTCTGCTTGGAACAGAGACACATTTTAGAAGATTATGTGCAGTTAGGATAATGAGAAAAAATATTGTGAAAGGTGAATTGTGAATTGAGCATTTCGTTGAAGAAAAAAAGAGTTCTCGGATATTTGGCAGATGATAAGAGAATCTAATGATATACAAATGCAATGAACGATATAGAAAAGAACCGATTTTTAAAGAATTTATTGCGAAGAAAATAAAGATGCGTTTCCCGAATCTCGCGGGAATGAGTCGCTAGAAAAATATGTGGTGCTGAGTGCAAGAAGTCAACTGTTTTCATGAACCTGTATTCAGAAAATGCTGCCAGCTTTGAATCGTCGCGAACGTTTTATGAAACGAGTTCATGCTTTCACATCGACCGATCAATCATTTGATTCACTGACGAACTCACAGAATACTTCGACACCACCTGCTGAAAGCAATACGCGTTTCCTAACCGTTCCAACACCACTGGAGGTCGGACTCACTCAGTTTGAGCGTCCCCCTCATAAAAAGGTCCAAACCATCGTGCGTACTTTAGGTTTAAATTCTAAAAACAGTTTATTATTTCCAGCAGAGCTTAATCGATTTTTGACTGACAAATATTTTTTCAAATTTCGTTAAGTTAAATATCGTTAAACGATTTTTTTAATGCAACTTATCATTTATTATCTAAATCTCAAAAAACAAACCTACATCTGACCACTTATTGGTCAATTATTGTCCTCAAAATCGTTGGGTAATAATTTGGGTAATGTTTAAATTTTTCTGTTTGTTCTCTTCAAGTATTCCAAGTTTTTTCTTATTTTCTTAACATTATTTGATAACATAACATTATCATAATTTGATCAACTTTCTTGATGGATTTTCAATAATATGGATGGATTTTTGCTTAATAAGCTTGACACGGCTATTTTTTTGCGTTGCTGGCTGCAAAGGAAACTAGTATAGACCGGTGGTTTAGGCCATCATTCAAAGAACTTTGCTCGATATCTTTCATTCGAAAGAACAGATTCAAAACCATTGAAAATCAAAGCTAGAAGGTACTGAGGACTCACTCTTATCGCTAAGTATTTCTCGAGTGAAGTGGATTCACTCTTCAAGCACTGTAGATGACATAAGAAAAGAATTAGCTGAATACTAGAACCGCATAAGCTAGCTTATATATGGTGAAAAGTATGGATCTGTGAGGGTGAAATTGGATTTCCCCTTCGAGTTCTGGGTAGCGAATGAAGATTGCACCATATGTGAAGTTAGATATTGTGAACACTTTAGTTTTTGGCTATAAAGTATGCCTAAAATGAAAATAAAAATAGACCTCACTCTCATGGTTTTCTATCTTATTTTTCTTTCTGTTTAAAACTTAAGACAAATAAAAATGGGTAAAAAGCGGGAAAAAATTTCTGAAATTCCTAAGCAATTAAAGATTGTGGTTTTTTAAACGATTCTTTCGAATTCCTTTAGAAGCACGCTAATTTAATTCCATGAAATATGCAAATTTAGAAATCCGCCGAAAGAAAAAGGATGTTTTGGAAAAAAACATCATATGTCATATGAATATCATTAACAAGCTCCCTTGGGAAACTGATCGATTGAAACTGATAATGTCAGAAGGAATTCATATATTTCAAAGTTCCATACTTTAAATTAAAATCCTTTGAAAAAAATATTGGATTCTATAGATGGAATTTGTGGCAATCTCACCAATCCTTTTGTAAGCTTTTAACCTCTTGATATTTTACAATGTTTTTTTAAGGATGTCATCGAAAAAATTCCTATGCGAGCCCGATCACAAAGTTGGTTGATAAGAACAAGGCATATGCTAGATGATGATACGGTTGGTTTTTTCCTATTTCTTGCCAGTTTTCTCGAACAAATAATAGATAGTATGATACTCAGTATGCATCATTATTATTATTATTTTTCCAACTTTTTTTTAATTTTAGGAGTTCCATATGGTGAGGTGAGATTTCATAATGGAGATTAGTCTTAATAGAATAGAATATTAATTGAGGAAGTTCTTGTATAAGTTCAGCATATTAAATTGAAGTCTTATCAAGTTTTTTGTTTTATATTTATATAAATGAAGGGCAGTTAAGCTTCGGATGGTTAAACCTCAATAACTTTTCTGTAACAGTCTAAGCTTGTAAACGAGAAACACCGCTCTGAGAATATATTTTAAAGTTTGTAGTGATCTAATTTATACTCGAGCTTCATATTGCTGTTTTGCTGAAAACTTTGTATCTTTTTATAAATGAAAAAGAAATCTATTCAATGGAGGAAAATTTAATGTAAGAAATTTTCACAAGCGGCAAAGTTTAATAATAAATAAATTGCATATCAATTGCTCAACAACTGCTTAGAACCACCACATTCAGTTCATCAAAATTTATAAATATTTAATTAAAAATTATGTCACATGTGTCACATTATGAAATATTGTCATTAAGTAAAAAACAACAGCACATATTATAATAATTTTTCTGAAATATTCGAATATTATTTCGAGACTTTGGTATCGGTAAAGAAGGAGATGCTCCGAATTAATGGTATGAAAATAGGGAAAAAATATTGTATTTTTGGCTATCACGGGAATTTATCGATTTTAGACGCACTTCATACAAGTTTTCTTTGTCCCATACAGATAAATGGGATCACGATAGTTGAATGGATAGTGATTCATTATTTTATCATGAAGCACGGACCTTGATTGCCAATTTTTCCTTAAGAATCCATGATGCTGACGAACTATCTGTATGAAAAGTTATTGAGATTTAACAATAAATAAAATAAAAAACTGCAAAATGAAGATATAAAAATGTAACAATTGGAAAAAGGAAAGAATAAGAATTATAATAATATATTTTTAGCCTCGTACTCCAGTAATATCAGGAATTATGTATGCTCTTTCGATCTTACTTCTCATCATTACTTTTCCATTTTGTTTACCATTCTGCTTAAAAATCGCCAAGTGAGTTGTAATAATAGCAGTTTAATTGTGCCATATTATTTTTGGCTTCTCGGTTTATTTGATCTTAATTTATGTCAACAATGATAATAAAATATTATATTAGCAATATCAGCAATTAGCGAAGAATTTTATTAAAAGAATTGATATTTAAGAGAGTATGAAAGAGCAGTGGTTATGCGGTTAGGAAGACTCATCGATGGTGGTACTAAAGGGCCTGGATTGTTTTTCGTTATCCCATGCATAGACACATTTCGAATCGTAAGTTTTTCTTTACTCATTACTCTATAAGTCTATAAGATCTATAAGTGAAAAACGATAGACCAAGCCTCAGTGGTGGAAAACGGTAGAGCAGGGTATTTTGTTATCACGTGTATAAACAGATTTCGAATCAAAATTTATTCTTTAAATTTTTTTTACTCTTTGTTCATATTTATAATGCTGTTGGAAGTAAACCGCTGCAAAAAATAATTTATTTCTTAGTCCTTTGAATTTTCTTTCAATGCCCAATATATTTACCATAACTTTATTTTTTCTGGATTATTGCATTTTAATGAAGGTTATTGTTTGAGATAGATTTTTGAGGGCAAATTTCTTATACAAATTTGCGCTAAATTCATCTTCTCCGGAGAGAGGAGAGAGCATATTTTTTCAGAGAGAAAGATTTTTAGATTCATTCATTTGATCATTAATTAAAAAGATTTTTTTATAAGTCTACTCAATTATTCTTAACATACTCTGAAAAGAAAGAGAAGAAAAGGCAATTACTAAAAATAGGAATAAAATGGGTTAGTGGATTGTTGCTTTTGGACGGCATTCTTTTGGAATGCCGATACTGATTCCTCTTCCGGCAAAAATAAACCTGTCTTTCAAAAATTCAGGCAAAAATTCAGTGCTGGAATCTCTTATATTTTATTGGCAAGTAAATCCTATAAAAATTCTAATCCATAATCGATAAGCCAATGGGCCAGACAAAAATGGTGGATCTCTTAGAAAAAATTATAGGAATTATGGCAAATAAGAAGGGATTTATCTTGATATATTTTTAGGATGAAAATCTTAATTGGAATTTATCAATCTTCATATTTCATAGTAAATCCCTACAGATTTCGCTATGTTGTAAACTATTTGCAAAATGCGTATATTTCCAATAAAGATAAAAATTTAATATAAATAAAAAGTATAAATAATAGAATAAATCTTAATTTTGGCAGGCTTTTAAATCCGAAATGCTGGATTCATGCATATGGGTATCCTTTATAAAGAATCATATTTCATTAGCTTGCTCATAAAATATTATAAATAATTTTGAATAATAGGTCGATCTTCGCGTTCTTTCTTTTGATGTGCCTCCACAGGAAATCCTTAGCCGAGATTCCGTTACAGTGACTGTTGAAGCAGTTATTTATTTTCGTGTTAGCAATCCTGTCATATCGGTTACTAATGTCAACGATCCACAGTTTAGCACTAAACTGCTTGCTCAAACTACACTTCGTAATGTTTTGGGAACACGAACATTAAGTGAAATGCTTAGTGAAAGAGACAGCATCGCCAATGTGAGTTTCATTTACTTTTTTCATTATATTTTTACAGGAGTTTTGCGAATCTCTGCTTTATTTTTTCGAAAATTCTCTAAAAACTTATGTTTGCTTTAATTTGCTTTTTATTTATTTATTTTTTCTAATTATTATTTACTATAGTGTAGTGCATTAACAAAATTTATTTTTCTAAATATATATCTAAAAATACACAAGTATATAAATTTGTGAAAATTATTAAAATGCTGATGAAGTATTCAATTTTTACTTTTATTTATCTTTTAATTTTAACTTGCCTTTTATTTTAATCAGTTTTAATATTTTTTTATTGAAATTATATGAATTAAAGATTCATTTTTATAATTTTATTATATATTTCATGCTTAAAAAATTATTTATAAAGGTTTTTTAAAAATTTGTTTCAATAATTTTAATATTTATTTCATAATTTTATAATTTTGAATATTCGCCTAAATAAATAAAATTTATTTCATTTAAAATCGATTAAAAAATCATTTTAATATTTTTTTTGTAAAACTTGGGAAATATTTATTTATCAAAATCATTTCTTAGACAAGTAAGAAAAAGCTAATTTTAAAATTAAAATAAAAAAGAAAATAACTTTTCTTGCTTCACTGCTATAATAAGAAGTGACCAATCCCATTTCCTCAAATTTTTTTTAATCCTACAGCATTTGTTGATTTGATGAATATTTTTGATTTATTCTTAGGTATAAAATACAAACATTGCGAATCGCTCATCAGCTAATTAGTTCTCCATTTCGTTTTCCAATGTTTTGCTCATGATTTAACCGCAGTTTACTAAATAGTTGCTTAGCACTTTATTTTCATTCCGAACATTTATTTTATTATTATTAACAATATTAGATGCGCGAGAAAATAAGAACTTTCTTAAAAATTTCGAAAAATATGGAGAACTGGTGAAATCCATTTTAAGGTGATTTCCTTTAGTTATCTTCTCAAACAGAAATAAATAAACATTCAATAAAATATAAAATGGATATGAAATTGATTATTATGGTTCTATTCCGCATATTTTTTCCTTGGCTCGGTAATTACCATTAAAAATCAAATAGGTTGATCTATACTGCTATTCCTTGAACATTTATATAAATATTATCGAATTCAAATAATAAGTTAATCTTGTGTGATGTTTGCAAGAATTATGCTACAGCGAAATAAATTTTCATACAGAAATTTGAAGATAATGTTTGCAGCATTAGCTCACTCTGCAAAGATTTTACGAAGATAATGATCATATAAACCAAATTGCACATTTAAACCTATTCCCAATTCACTGTTTAAAATAAATAGTGTTACTCTTAAATAATTCTATTCTACTGAAAAATTGGTTTTCTAGTTTTGCAATCCTATAGCTTTCGAATAAGTTGTACATATTAAATCTTGACAACTCGAAAGAATTCGTAATTTTAGATTCATTAAATGATAAGTGGTTTGTACATATTAAATCTTGACAACTCGAAAGAATTCGTAATTTTAGATTCATTAAATGATAAGTAGTTAGGGTATACCATTTCTAGTTAAGTTAGCTGTTAGTGCGGTCAGAAATTTTTGTCAGAGAATCATTTTGGGAAGTACAAAGGAAGCGCCAACAGAACTTCAATTTTTATATAACAAACCTCTGGTGCTTGGCGCAGACATATCGCTCCAGCGCTTCATTAAAAAATATAATAAAAGAAAACATTTATTAAACATTATTTTTGTTGCAGAAAAAAACTTAGGTGCTATAGGGCCAACATATTCCAGGTAATTGAAAAAGTGTTGGAAGAGGGGACAGATCCATGGGGAGTTCAAGTACAACGAGTTGAAATCAAAGACATACGTCTGCCTCACACGTTAATGCGTTCAATGGCTGCAGAAGCCGAGGCAGCACGCGATGCTCGAGCTTTAATTATTCATGCTCACGGTGAACAAAAAGCTTCATGGTATGGTATTTTTTTAAATCATTGGAAATATATTTTAACTATATTCCTAGTTTAAACCAGTTTTCTTTCTCTTCCTTGTAGTTTTTTGCAATTTCAGGTCTCTTGCAGAAGCAGCATCAATAATTGGTGGAAGCAAAGTGTCGCTTCAACTGCGATATTTGCAGACTTTGTCAAATATATCTTCAGAACATAATAATACTGTCGTAATACCATATCCAATGGAAATTGCTAGACATTTCGCTCAAAAATGGGCAAAAATTAAATAATTTGGATTAGAAGCAAATGTTATTTGAGATTAATTAGGAATTTAGGAATTTACTGCGAACTTTATTGCAAAACGGATATAAAATCCTCCATTTCATGGTTGTTCATTTGTTTTTCACTGCAAATAAACAAGGCTGAACAATTATTGATTTTGCAAAATTTGTCTAAGAATTTTCTAAAGGAATCTATTATAGCGATAATTTTATGACCTTCATAAATGAAAAACAAATGAAGTTAGCTATAGGCAGTTTTGTTTTCGCCACTTTTATTTCTTTAGATCCAACACATATATTTTTTGCTATATTTTGCTGTATATTTTTTGCACTAATTCGACTAATATTGTTTAATTTATTTTTATTTTTTATTATTTTTTATTTTTGATGTTAGAGGAATTGAAGCATGAAACGAGTTCATTTAAATGAAAAAACGGGCGCAGAAGAAATTTGGAAATGATTAATAAATTGGCAAATTAAGTATTGGCAAAACATATTTGCTAAAGCATTCGAAATTTTTATCAATGGTCAGTTGAAAACAAATGGCGAATTCTATGAATCCATCGGCTATGGTGAACGCTAGGTGTACGATGCTCAGCCAAGGTTATCAATTATAGTCGTTTCTCGCCAAACTGCCAATTATTTTCAATATTGGCACTGGTTAAAAAAATATCATAATTGGCAAATTGTTCCAAAAAATTTTCATCGAATTATGTAAAATTCATTTGTAAATTTATTTTTTTATATACATATTTTATGTACTAAAAATATTGTAACAAATATTGCTCAACAATCTTTGCAAAAATATAAATGTATTCAAAATCTTGAAGAAAATCTCATTTTTTGAAAAATTTTCCAAAAATTTTACTATAAAATTTACTATAAAATTTAGAAAAGGAACTAATAACCCATATATATATATATATATATACCCATATAGAATATCCAGCCTGTTGATGAAATGCTCGAAGGCGAATCGGTTACCAGTCACCACAAATTAAGACGAATTTATATTGCTGGAGAAATGCAAAGTACAAATAATAGTGCATAATATTATAAAATATTCTGCCCGAATAAAGTTAAATAAAAAAATAAATAAATTAGTGAAATGGATAAAAATTTCTGAAAAAGTGGAGAGAAGTAAAAAAGTAGTAAAAAGATTAAATTTCGCGACAAAAAAGAAAATAAAAAATTTGCAAAGCAAAATTATGAAAGTATATAAATAATAGCAAAAGAAAAAATTAAAACTAATTTGAAGTTTTGATTTTATTTTATTTGCACCTGTATTCGAATTATAAATTATTAGAAACTGTTATTATAAATTATTAAAATTAATTCGCATAATTCATTTTTCCTTTTTTGCCATAATTAATATTTTTTGAATTATTTCTCTGAACCTCAAATATTTTTTTATAACCAATATCACATCGCCAAATCCTTCTTATTTCTTATTTAATCTTCGCAAACGTGTCATTAACCAGTTGGGGTTCTGACTACGATCTCTGTGTATTTCCACAGCCAAATGATTTTATTTCGGTTCAGGTACCATACATGTTTTTGTGTTTATTTAGATAAACCAGCGTCGCACAAAAATAATCGGTTTTCTATTTTTATTTTTTTTGCTTCTCTGCTTTCAATGACTATCAGTAATTAAATGTCAATGTGAGGTTTACTTTTTTTCCTTATTCTTAGAATCCACGACACTGAACATTCTTGTATCCTGCTATTATCATTATTCTCTCTTGTGTCCTGCAATTATTATTATTATTTAATAGCTTCAAGACTCCTTTTTGGCTAAAATTGTTCTTGTTACATATTGCAGCACTAATTTTTAAAATAAGTAAGTGGTTAGAGTCCAACATTTCTAGCTAGATTTGCTTCACTAACTCAATGCGGTCATTTTTGTTAGAGATCATTTGGCGTTAGAAGTGTAGGTACATTGTAGCATCACCAGGATTTTTTAATTGCAGGTTTATTTCTGGTAATAACAGAGGCAGAATAGATGATTGTCTCTCAACATCCACAGTTATAAGCCATTATTCATCTTTTGTTTATCTTCTCTCACTAATTTCAATTAAAACATTAAAAATTGAATTAAAACACTAAATTAAATTGGCAATAATTTGGCTTTCAATTTCAATTTAAAAGATCTTTTAAAACACTTCTCAAAATATTTCAAAATCTTTGCTCGTTTTCTTTTTTCCATAGATTTTCAACAACATTTCCACTTTTTAATTATTTCTACCGTAATTAATACGCCTAAATAGTTTCACCAATCATTCTCAAATGAATGACGAAGAATCTATAAAATCGCTCGGAGTAATTTTTGACCAATCTTTGGTCAGTTGAAATTTTTTAAGTGGCGAAAAATTTCTGATATTGATAATTTATTCTGCGTGCTTAATGCAGACGAGTTTTTGTTATATTATTGTTGAAAAAACTTGTTTCATTCGAACAATTTTTATGAAAGGAAACGATTGAAGAAGGCAACAAATACTTCACTTCACTTACTAAAATATTAAATATGAATGATTGACAAGTTTAAAACAAATTTAATCTTGAAGACAAATCCATCTAAGAATAAAACAGTGTTTCATCACATATTAAGGCAATACTTCCACATATGGCATCAAATCGAGCAGTTTGGAAAGTGGCTCATATAGCGAGCGTAGCCAGTTCAACCAGTGATGATGCAAGCTGTAAGAGGAAAAGGCCAATTAAAGGCCAAGTCTTTAAAATTTGCAAAATTATATTTAAAAACCACTGGTTTGTGCCTTTTTACCAATACAATTTATTTACATTTAGGTTTAGGTTTTATTTTCATTAACACATGATTTAACTCATTAGCTCATTAACTCATGATTTTCTCATGATTCATGATTTAACTTTTCTATAGTTATCATCAATCATTGGAAAAATACTGCATCATATTTTTATTATGCTGTGCCATATAATGCTCTGCTCGCCATGAGTTGTATCACATGAGTTGTATCGTTGCAGAAGCAGTAGATGAGGAATAGGAGTTTCAATTTTTTTTTGGTTGATTTAGTCAGATTTGATATGAAATCGCGTGATTTGCGACTTGATTGCTTTAAACTGGGGCATCAAGCACCGCAAGCAGCCTATAAGCTGCTTTTTTGGTGGAGCTACTTCTAAAGAACCTCATGAATTGAGCATCAGATGAAATCGGACGTATAAAAATAAGTCCTTTTCTTGTAAAGATTTTTAAGATTGTAATAAAGAACAAATTCCGAACGACAATAGTTGGACAAGATGAACTATGATGAACATATTCCGATCTTCACTCGAAGAAAACTATGGTCATTATTTGGTGGTCTTTTGCCAGATTGACCCAAAATAACTTCACTTCCTAAAATTTGATGTAGGCTACAAATGAGTCTTATAGAAATAGTAATAACCAGAAACTTTAAAAAATGACCAGCATAAAAAATCTCATCATTTTGCTTGACAGTGATAAAGTGCACGTGTTCGCTGCAAAAAAAAATTTGGCGAATTGAATATCGAAATCTTTCCTCATTCACCATATTCAATAATTTTCTCGCTTTCACTTTTCCTTTCCTTCGACAACTTCTTTAAAGAGAACATTTTTGAAAAAAAGTACTTTGAAAACATCTTTTAACGGTTTATTAGTTCAGTCTTAGGACTTCTACATAAATTGGAGTGGATAGATTTATTTCTCGTTGGCAAAAGTTCAATTTAACTCAATATTTTGCCGAAAATATTGATTTTCAAAAAAGTTATGGTCTTTCAAGATAAACGACCCATATTTTTTATATTTAATGTTAATATTATTCGATAATTTAAATTTTCTGACACTAACATATGCTAATCTCATCAACTAAATTTGAAAGTCGATTATCAATTTTTGTGAAAGTTGATCATTTCTTCTTCTATCGCCATTTAATCACACGGGAATTGAAAATATATTCTCCTCTTCCATAGTTTTTTTGCTGAATTAATGTTGATAAGGCAAAAAGCTCATAAATTTACAATTTTAAATTAAGAAAAGCAAATTTGTAATTTGTCTAAAGTGGCCAAATTTTTCGCTCCTTCATAAATAATGGCAAGATTTCCGTCACTATTTTTGACATTATCTGTTGACTATATCTGATTTAAAAAATTATATAGGGCGAAAAATTTTTGGTAAATTCCATTCGAATTACAAAATTTATTGTTTGAAAACGTGCGACCTGCTGCTGCTGCTCCTGCTCATATATGTATGTTTTATCTGTCACTACCTATCGAGCGATTCATCATGTCGAATTAATGGTTAATTCCACAAAGGAAGGCAATTTTTCTTCATTTTAGAGGGAACTATACGCAAAAAAAACGAATAGATTTTAGAAAAATTCGAATTGCTTCAAATTTTGTTCTTTTGATCAATTTTTAAAAAAATTTTTCAAATGAATCAATTTTTTATCGGCTGAAAAGGTAAAAATTGTGATAAAAAATACAAAAAAATGGGAGAGAAATGGATTTTCGCAACTTATTTGTCAAAATTTTTTTAAAATATTTTTTCCTATCAGTATTCTATTAATTCTATAGCTGATCTTTCTTCTAATGACAAACTTTCATTTTTTTTTTTTATTAATTATTTTTCATTAATTGCTCGCAAATAATGGAAGAAGATTGGAAGATGAATATAAAGGTTCGTCGCTGCAGAAAGTTTCATTATAAAAAATCTTTTTATAAGAACCATGCTAGAATTGCTGTTTTAAAATTTCGCCATTATACTAAAATTCTTGATATCTTTTTTGATCAAATAAAGCATGAAAAATCAAAAATACAGAGGCAAATTAAATCAGTTCAGAGAGAACAACTTGAACAAAACATCGATTATAGTCATTACAAACACCATCATTAAGTTAATTCCACAAAGGAAAGCTTCTCTTTTAATTTATAATGGCCTTCACCTTTCCTGGTCTAACTGGCTAAGTTGGCAGTTATAATTAAATCCCTAAGCCAGATAATAACATAGTGGTGGAGGT